GCTAAGGCACTTGACTGCTAACCAGAAGGCTGGCGGTTCAAACCCACCAGCCACTCCTCCGAAGGAAGATGGGGCAATCTACTTCCGTAGTGATAGTGTCTCAGAAACCCAAGGAGGGGTCACTATGAGTCAGGACTGACTCGACTGCACATAACAACAGCAACAGGAGAATAATGAGAAAAAAAATGTGAAAAATGGAAAAAGAAAAACAAGGAATGGGATTAACCAAAAGAAAGGAAACAATGGGAACCCAGAACAGGGAAGAAAGAAAATGCTGAAAACTAGAACCTGGGAAGGGAAGAATAAAAAAAAAATAATAAAAAGCACAATAATAATAATTTTAAAACAGACACAAACAAACAAACTAAAAAAAAAAAAAAAAATCTGGGCAGGGCAAGGCACCCAGGCTCTGTCTGAGCACACAGACTGGGATAGAATTCCTCCCGGCACAGAAGGTTGGAAGTGAGGGATGGCTGCACCTCTGTTCAGCAAGAAGGTGGGGGGGTATAAGAGTAACAAGGGGAATATCTCAGCTTTCTAGTTGTTGGCATGGTTTTGATCACCTCTCACCCTTGATTTGCAGGCATCTCCAAATAAAACAGGGTACAGCATTCTAGACCATTAACCTAATGTTCTTGTGCTTCCCGGTAAGTGGAGCCTATTCTTAAGTCCCTGGAACCTGGAAGAACGTTGTCACTTTAAATATCCAAAATGGTCGACACTTGTAAACATTCAAAATTCTTATGGCCTCCAGACAGGCTAAAGTCCACAGCTCAGCCTGCCTTCCTCTTTGCTGCTTCCCCTTTTGTTCACTATCCACTAGTGCAGTCCTCCATGCAGCCCCTCACTAGCAAGGCTGATTTTTTAGGTTAATTATTAGGTTCTAACACCATTTGGCAATATCTAAGCTGTCTATGCCATCAGGATTGCTGCCAGACTGCAGCTCCATGTCTCCTTTTTTAATGTTTTCATGCAAGTTCTTCTACTTGGAGTTTAGTCCACTTCTAAGCTTCCCTTCACTTCTGAGCTTCCCTTCAAAGCTCAGGGGTCCAGGACTATCTTCTGTATCTGTGCTAATTGCTTCCCCTTTTCTTTGTTGAAGAGGGTCTGTGCAGTCTGTCTGCCTATTCCGCCATCTTACTGGAACTCCCTGAGCTCGTACTCAGTTGTATGCTACAACTTCCCTAAGACTATTTCCATTCAGGCCACATAAACCCAAACCAAACCCACTGCCATAGAGTCAATTCAGACTCACAGCAATCCCTACTGGGTTTCCGAGGTGGTAAATCTTTATGGAAGTAGATTGTCCGGTCTTCTTTCTGCAGAGTGGTTAGTGGGTTTGAATCACCAGTGTCTGGTTAGCAGTCATATGTCTTAGGCATTGCATCACCAGAGCACCTATTCAGGCCACATAGGTGCTGAAAACACACACACACACACACTTTTCTCTCTCTTAATCCTGCTCCTGCTCTTCTTTCAAATTACTTTTCTTCATCAAACACCCTTCCTAGATTCTACAAATACAAAAGAATACATTCACTCCCCATAGGGAAAGTTGAAGGTTTAATTTTTAAGTTTTTTTTTTTTTTTTTAAAGGCAACCTCCTCTGGTTTATTAAATTGTGTAAACAAAGCAATTTCTAGAAAGTCTGGATGTGCTGGGTGATGTCATGGTGGGTAGGCCAGAGGCACAGAAAGAGCCACTGTAAAAGAAGAATGTCTAAGAATTGCCAATTACTGATAAAGTGAGCACAGGGTACGCACACCTCCAGGCTGCTTGATTCTGGCTGGTGTTCAGTTTCCTGGCTGTGAGTAGAATGTCTCCACCAGACAAACAGAGGCTGACCAGCCACACCTGCTACATAGCAAATTCCCAGGTGTGGTTTTGATCACCTCACACCCTTGATTTGGGGACATCTCCAAATAAAACAGGGTATATAGCATCCTAGACCATTAACCTAAATTTAAATGCAGGTTCCAAGAGGATGCAGTTAACAGGCTTCTCAGTCTGTACATAGACTCAAATGCTCCCCTTTCAACTTGTGGACATGAAAAGCTGTTGCTGAAATGTGCTTTCATTTGGGGCTAATTATAATAAACTGTCAGCTGATGGAACCATCAATAGACTCTCTGTTTGATCCCTTACAAGCTTTCTTATTCATCTGGTGATGAATAAGCCAGTTGTCATGAAGTGTATCTCAGTTGGATACATTTCTCTTAGGTGACTGACAAATATGTACTGGCGGCAGAGTATTCTTTATTCCAAAATATTTTCTTCCCCCTGCTCTTTCCTCTGGGCTGCACTCATCTGCCATGTGGTTGTAATGAAGAGAGGTCTTCTGCACGCTCTAGGGTTTAGGCCTAAAGTAGTTACTTACTTAGTAATTGCTTGATATTTAATTCAGCATCCACTAAGAGTGTCCTACCCTCTCTAAGCTGTCATTCATACCACAACCTCCCTTTCACACAGCTTTCTATCACTGAGAACCCTCAATTCCTCATGGCCCATGGCAGAGTCAAATTCTAGTGCCTCCGGGGATCAGGTTGTTAACAAAACGAGTGAAGTGGGCCAGGTGTTGGGATAAGAACAGCAGCAGCCACAGTGTGAGGAAGGTGGGGGAAGGAGAGGACAATGGGGACTGTGGCAAACCAAGAGTACACTTGCTCTGTCTAAACAATCACTACCCAACATTTTGTTGCTGTGGAAGAATGCAGTCTGGTGTGGCCAGGTCTTCTAATTCTCAAGGGAAATTAGAAATGCAGATTTCTATGGGAAACCTCATAATATTAAATGTTGGTATTAAAATAAAACAAAATTAAAGATGTAAATTTCACTATCAAAAGAAAAAACTAAACACTGAGCTCTAGTTAATGATAGGCAGGCTGAAGAATGAATTAGGGGGAATTATACAGATGTCTCCACAGCAACTAACAATAACAACAACATACAGATGTCTGCAATTATCTTGAAATGTATTAAGGAAAAAAAATTAATGGATAGACAGATACATAATAAAAATCAAGTATGATATATGTTAATGGAGAAGTTGAGAGGGTGGATATATAGGCATTCACTGTAAAATTCTTTCAACTTTGCTGGATATTTGAAGACTCAAAATAAAATGCTGGAAAAAAAATCCACTAAATCCACAAATAAAAGTCTATAGGCTAAAATGACCTATGGATGGCCAGTTTGTGAAGGCTGATCTCCAACATCAAGTCTCAAAGCCATTGTTTGTCTCTCCCAAGTTTTTCTTTACCCATCCCCACTTTCCAATCATCAAGTCTGCTGCTCCCACATCTTACCATACAGTAGTGAAGTGGACCTTCCCGAGGTCCACTTAGCACTCAGTCCTGTCCATGTTATGAAGCTGGTCCAGATTAACTCTTCATTAACCCCATGCACCAAACTGCTGCTCCCCTCATACACACCACCCCTCCGTTTCACACACCAGCTCAAGTCCTTCTCATTTCCTCCGTGAAGCCTTTTCTAAACCATGCAGATCTCTCTCTGATGGACCCATGGTCAGGACTATGTAGTTTAGCTCCATTTCCTGTTAGGTGGTCTTAGGTCTGTCTTCTTGTGGCTCCTTTAACATGTGTATCACACGTACAGCCAGATACACACTGTAGGGTCTTGGCTTTTTCCCCCAGCTGCACATCAAAAGTCAAATGGGAGCTTTATTTAAAATAAATAAAGATAGATAGACTATGCCAGGACCCCATCTAGACTTACTGAGAATCAGAATGGGAGAGGGAAGACTCAGGCACGTCTAATGTTCATGAAGCCAGCCAGGTGCTCCTGGCTGGAGCAAGGCTGAAAGCCATGTTCTCTAGGGTGTAGTGCCGCTTAGTGATCAGCTGCTAAACCCTACAGAATGTACAAAAGGTACAGTCTTTATCTTTTAGAGCAGTGGGTCTCCAGACACTTGACAATGTCTGGAAACATTTTTGATTGCTACAACCAGGAAAGGGGGTGCTACTGGTGACTAATGGGCAGAGGCCACTGACACTGCTCAACATCTTATAATGCACAAGACAGCCCTCTACAACTAAGAATGCTCTAACCACAAATGTGAATAAAGCCAAGGTTAAAAAACCTGCTCTAGACCAAACTGTCCAATAGAATTTTTTGCAATAATGGAAATATTCTACAGCCCCTCTGCCCAATAATGATACCCACTGGCTACATGTGGCTGCTGAGTACCTAAAATGTGGCTCATATGACTGAGGAACTAAACTTTTCATTTATTTAATTTAGTTTAAAAAGCCACACATGGCTAGAGGCACCCATACAGGACCAAATAACTCTGGACCTTACAATGATCAACAATTCTAGCAACATCCCATTCTCTGAAAATGCCTGCCTTCCACTTGCTTTGGGGAATTGTTATAATCAAGAAAGACTGCAGGCGAGGCTTGCTGGCAGAGTGGGGTGTCTCCAGGCACTTGGTGTAGCCAAGCTTGCCAACCCATGGAGCTAGAGCTGTGCCCCTTCAGGCCAAGGCTTGCTGGCAGAGTGGGGTATATCTAAGCACTTAGCAGAGCTCAAAGAGCTTTGTAACACTTGCCTGAGCAAGACAGAGGACAAGGTGCCACAGGGCTGTCTGGTCAAGGGCCAGAAAGAGGCATGCCTGCTGGCACTTTTGAGAAGAAGCTGTCCTGACCAAAGAACTGTATTCTGAGTGGTTCCCGATCCTGAATCCTGTTACTTCTGTAATAAATCCCAAAGTCGTGAACATGGGGAGGGAAAAAAAAAAAAGGCTGCAGGGACACATGTACGACTTGCTTCTCATACCTCCTCCCATTTCAGACATAAAGAGATCAACTGCTACCTCCATTCACCAGCCTACAGGTAGGTGGGAGTGTGCCCAGACATAGCCCCTTCGTCTGCAGAGCTCATTTGTCCAACTACACACTGCACATCCACGTTGGAAGCCCCCCTCACCTTGATGGTTTCTAGCTCCATGCGGAGACGGTTATTTTCTGACAGGAGGTCCCGGTTCCTGGTTTCGATTTGTTGCAGCTGCGTCTCCAATTCAGCTTCATATTCTCGGCTTCCCTCTTGGAATTCTCGCAGCTCTTCTTGAGTATTCTCTGCCCTACAGCAAAATTCCAAAACATAAAATAATTATTGAGTGCTTAAGTGTACCAGACAATGTGCCTCTCATGTGGATCATCTCGTCATTGAACTACCTTCTGAGGCTGAAGCTATCATCATTCTCATTTCACAGATGAGAAGATGAGGTTCAGACAAGATGAGTGACTTGTCTGAAGATTACACAAGTAGTGGAAAGCAGAGTCGGAACCTCAACCCAGGTTTGCCTGACTCTGAAGCCATTTTTTAATCAAATCACATTCATTCATTCAATACTTTAGATACTGCATTTTCTGCAGATTTTTTATAAGTAAAAAACAAGTTGCCATCAAGAAAATTCTGACTTATGGCAACCTCACATATATAATATAGAACTGGCGGTTCAAACCCATCACCCACTCCTCAGAAAGAAGATTGGGCAATCTACTTCTTGGGCAGTGATGCTGCCTCGGAAACCCAAGGAACGGTTGTTATGAGTCGGATCTGGCTCGATGGCAGGGAGTTTGGTTTTTATTTTTTTGGTATGCTCTGTAGGGTGTTCGATGGCTTTATTTTCAAAAATATTAAATAAAAATATTTATTTTCAAAAGCAGATTTGCCAGGACATTTTTCTGAGGTGCCTCGGCGTAGAATTAAACCTCCAACCTTTCTGGTTAGCAGTGAAGTGCATTAACCATTTGCACTATCCAAAACCAAAAACCAAAACCAAACCCATTGCCATTGTGTTGACTTAACCCTGTAAGAGAGAATAAAACTGCCCCAAAAGGTTTCCAAGGCTATAAATCTTTATGGGAGCAGACTGCCATATCCTTCTCCCAAATAGCAGCTGGTAGGTACATATTGCCCACCTTTCCATTAACAGCTGAGCACTTAACCACTATGACATCATGGCTCTGCACCATCCCAGAACTCCTTATCAGTACAGGTATACCTCAGAGATTTCGCAGGGCTGGTTCCAGACTACTGCACTAAAGTGAATATCACAATAAAGCGAGTCACACAAAATTTTTGATTTCCCAGTGCGTATAAAAGTTATGTTTACACAATACTGTTAATTATTAATAATTACGTGTAACAGCATTATGAAAAAATTTGAAATACTGTGAGAATTCCCAAAATGTGACACAGAGACACAAAGTGAACACATGCTGTTGGAAAAATGGCACCAATAGTCTTGCTCAATGAAGGGCTGCCGCAAAGCTTTAATTTTTATAAAACGTCGTATCTGTGAAACACAATAAAGAGAAGTACAACAAAACAAGGCATGCCTGCAAATCTCCAGAAATCAGAAAAAATATAATTGTTCAATTATCACATCACTATAATCTGCTGCCCTACCCCAAGCCCTCATTTCTATTTTCTTTTTTTTTTTGATGAAAATTTACACAGTAGAAGATACACCCATTCAAAAATGTTTACATATACATTTCAACTGGTTACATTCTTCACACTGTGTCATCATTCTTGCTATATCTATCCATATTGTTTTATCAGTATTGTCTTAGATTTCCAAAAAACCAAACACCAAACTCACTGCCATTGAGTCGGACCCAACTCACAGCAACCCCTCCTTGGGTTTCCGAGACATTATCACTACAGAAGTATATTGCCCAACCATCTTTCTGAGGAGTGGCTGGTGGGTTTGAACTGCCAGCCTCTGGTTAGCAGTCAAATGTCTTAGGCACTATCTCCTAAACTTCTGGAAAACGTGATGAATGGTCCTGAAGTAGAGGGTCAGCAAAAAAGGGGAAGAACCCTCAATGAGATGGACTGACACAGTGGGTACCATGATTGGCTCAGGTACAGCAAATATTGTGAGGCAGGCGCAGGACCAGGCAGAGTTTCATTCTGCTGTATACAGGGTCACTATGAGTCAGAGCCAACTCAACGGCAACTAACAACAAACTTCTCATCCACCACTTGTCTGTCAGTCTGTTCTACTATAGTGGCTTGTGTGTTACTATGATACTGGAAGTGATGCAACTGGTATTTCAAACACCATTAGGGCCATTCATGGTGGACAGGTTTCAGTGGAGCTCCCAGACAAAGACAAACCAGGAAGAAGGATGCAAAGGTCCACTTTTGAAAAAACCGGTCACTGAAAACCTTATAACTAGCAGTGAAACATTGATACAGTGCTGGAAGAAGAGCCCCTCAGTTTGGAAGACACTCAAAATACAACTGGGGAAGAGCAGCCTCCTCAATGTAGAGTTAACCTTAATGGCATAAGTAGGGTAAAGCTTTTGGGACTTTCATTTGCGGATGTGACACAACTCAAAATGAGAAGAAACAACTGTAAATATCCACTAATAATCAGAACACAGAATGTATAAGCATTGTAAATCTAGGAAAATTGGAAGCTGTCAAAAATGAAATGGAATGCATAAAGATCGATATCCTAGGCATGAGTGAGCTGAAATGGACTGGTATTATTGGCCATTGTGAACTGGAGGATCATATGGTGCTCTATGCAGGGAATGATAGATTGAAGAGGAATGACATTGCATTCACTGTCAAAAAGAACATTTCAAGATCCATCCTGAAGTACGATGTTGTCAGTGATAGGATACTATCCATATACCTATAGGGAAGACCAGTTAGTACTTCTATTATTCAAATTTAAGCAGGAACCACTAAAGCCAAAGATGAAGAAACTGAAGATTTTTACTTCGGCAGTCTGAAATTCACCAAACATGCAATCAGGGTGCGTTGATAATTACTAGTGATTGGACAGCAAAAATTGGAAATAAAGAAGTAGCATCAGTAGTTGGAAAATAAGCCCTTGCTGAGAGGATGATACTAGTGATCACATGATAGAATTTTCCACAAGACCAACAACTTATTCATTGCAAAAACCTTTTTCCAACATGAATAGCAACTATACACATGGGCCACTCCAGATGGAATACACACGAATCACAGACTACATTTGTGGAAGGAGATGATAGAGTAGCTCATTATCATCAGTCAGAACAAGGCTAGGAGCTGCCTATGGAATCATAAGATAACTGTGATAAGTGGATCAGCAACTGAGTGGATCATACAAGTTTAAGGTGATGTTGAGGAAAATTAAAACAGATTCACCAGTACCAAAATACAATCTCAAGTGTATGCCACCTGAATTTAGAGACCATCTGAAGAACAGCTTTGACCCATTGAAAACCAGACGAATTATAGGATGACATCAAGGACATCATATATGAAGAAAACAAAAGGTTATCAAAAGGAAAGGAAAGACAGACAAGACCAAAATAGATTTCAGAAGAGTCTGAAACTTGTTCATAAAAGGAGAGTGGCTAAAGTGAATTGAAGAAATTATGAAGTAAGAGAGCTGAATAGAAGATTTCAAAGGGCAGCTCAAAAAGACAAAGTATTACGTAAATGTGCAAATGTAAATGTAAGTATGCAAAGACATAGAGTTAGAAAATCAAAAGAACACGCTCAGCATTTCTCAAGCTGAAAGAACTGAAGAAAAAACTCAAGCCTTAAGTTGCAATACTGAAGGATTCTAAAGGCAAAATAATGAACAATGAAGGAAGCATTAAAAAAAGATGGAAGGAATACACAAAAGTCACTGTACCAAAAAAATTAGGTGATGTTCAACTATTTTATGAATAACATATGATCAAGAACCAATGGTATTAAAGGAAGAAGTCTAAGATGCACTGAAGGAATTGGTTAAAAAAACTCAGGCTCCAGGAATTAATGGAATACCTACTAAGGTGTTTCAACAGATACAGTGCTTGAAGAGCTCACTTGTTTATGGCAAGCAATATGTAAGACAGTTACCTGGTCAATCAACTGGAAGAGATCCATATTTGTGCCCATTTCAAAGAAAGGTGATCCAAACGAATGAGGAAATTACTGAATAGTATTGCTAATATTACATACAAGAAAAATTTTGCTGAAAATAATTCAAAACAGTTGCAGCAGTAGAGAGTCATGGAACTGCCAGAATGTCAAGGTTTCAGAATAGGATGTGGAATGAGAGATACTATTGCTGATAGATGGATCTTGGCTGAAAGCAGAGAATACTAGAAAGATGTTTACTTGTGTCTATTGACTATGCAAAGG